TTAGGTATAGGCATGCACTCTGTGCAACATGTTTGCATTTATGCAATACACTTTTAGTCTATTTCCATAAGGTTAATATAAAAATTAATAAAATAGTAAAACATAGTACAATATTATAACATAATATACAAAAATAAATTGTTCAGTGAAAATTAGTATTATATATTTAGTACATTTAATGTATAAACATAAAACATTAAGGTATTTCTAGTTCCTACTCCGTTATTAATTTGTTATTAATACATGCAGGCTTTCAATAATTATATATTTATCTGATACTAATATTAAGAAATGTTTTTATTTTGTTGTCATTATCATATTGAAGTATACTACTCATAAAAACATAACAAAAAACACAAAATACATGATTTTATAGCAAAAATTATAGCTAGGCACTGGTAGAATTATTTTAGCTTAAATTGGAACTATGTTTAATTAAAATAAATTATTACTGTAGTGTAACATTAACTTGACATGTTTGTTGAATTTTCATCAATTAAACCATAAGAGATGTGAGTATGTACTTTCTGAGGTGACTTTTAGAGTCCATCCGATCTTGTAACTTATCAATACTTTAAATATAATTTTGTGAATCTCTAGAGTCTTGAAGTAAACTAGGAATCCAAAAACAAAACAATTTTTAATCATAGTTTAACTATTTAAAAATTAATACAAGCCAAAAAAGGTGCTCTGCTGTACAGTAGGTTACAAGTGGGTCACTGTATAATCGATGGTATTAAATTTGAATTCAATGATATAATATCATTGTATAAGAAAAACGATTCTGAGCGGAGACGGTATGTCAGTCTAGGTTTAAGACATATATATACATATCTATGGTATTTTAAAAAATCTTGACCCATAATAGGTACCTATAATAAATTAAAAATTAATCATATCAAAATATCCAATAAGTACTTATAATGCGTTATACATCAACAAAAAACCGTGATACTATCATAGATACATAATAGTACACTTTAGAAGTTTCAAGTAGGTACCCACAAATAATATTATACAATCACAACAAAATAACTAAATGCTAGGTTTTTTAATATGTAATTTCGTCCAAAAATGAACTTAAAATGACTATAAAAATAAACTGTGCTTGTGTATTTTTAATATTTTTCAACTGCTATTGTAACAATATATCAGGAGCATTGTATTAAAATTTTACACTTTTTGACCCAACAGATAAAACTTCATTGATATTCATAGAAAAAAAAAAGTAAAAAAATTGAAAACTGACAATGCCCGTTAACAGCTCAAAAAGTGTCAAGATATTTTGAACATTTTATCAAGTAAAAGAATTGATAATATAAACATTCAGTGAAATTGTCATGTATCTACCGTTATTCGTTTTTTAAGTATAACAAAATGAGAAAATCGTTACATGAGAAATCGAGTGAATAACACATTTTGTAAAAATATGAATTTAAAATGCTCACAAAAATTTAATTTCAACTTCCGGTAGACATTTTTTTTTTTTTATAAAGGTAGATAATCTTATAGGGAATCTTGTATTACATTTAAAAATCTTAGATTTAAAAAGAAAAATTTTTTTGAAACTCAAAAGAATTTGCTAATTTTTGTGATTTTTCCATATTTTGTCAATTTTTGAACTTTAAATGCTTATAAAAAAATCTGTGACTAAAGATTTTTAATATTTTTCAAATGTCATTGTAACAATATAGAAGGAGCATTGTACTAAATTTTCAAGTATTTTTACTCAACAAATAAAGTTTTAAAATTGACATTCATAGAAAAAAAACTAATAAAATGGGAAACTGCAAATGTAACTAAACAGTTAAAAACATATCATAATATTTTGAAAATTTTATCATGTATAGAAAATGCAAATATAAACAAGCAGTGAAAATTTCATGTATATATGTTCATTTGTTTTAAAGTTACATTAAAAAACAAAATTTTGGGTAAAAAATCCCGTTTTTCCTTAATTTTTATGTTGTTTTTTCCGGCACAAAACTATCGGGAATTTTAAAATTTGACCTCCCGATTGCACCAACTAGATTCAGTTTTCCATCGAACAAGATACTGTTGAAGAAAATCGAAGCAGTTTTACGGCCCAAAACCGTGATGACAGACACAAAATTGAATAAATAATAAAAAATAAAAAAACACACATCAATGTAAAATCAATACATTCATCGTTCCACTCAGAATCTAAAATTGATTTTTTTAATAGAAATATTGAAATGTATACTGCCGTTAAAATGATGACAAAATATACCTATTTTGATGAGACTTATTATAAATAATATGAGGCAAGTAAACAATTGTGTGTAAAATGACTAGTCAACAAGAAAATAATGGAAATAATTGGACATGTACATTTTCAAAATTGTTTAGAGCAAAGTTGAAAACAGATACGTGATCTTCAAATAAATGAAAATATGAAGAGAACGTAACACGGGCATTTGTTTTCTCTGTCGACTGTCTTACAAGAGAGTAACATAGGAAATTTAAGCTCAGTATAAAACATTAAGATTTTCTAGTTTAAAAATTAGAATGAATCGACCTATTATGAAACATGATTTTTAGTTATGAGTATTTTTAATTAACGCTATATTATATATGTAAGACTTGCTAAAAGTTTAAAATTTAACTACAGTAAAAACTCCTATAAAAACAAAGATAATTTTCTTACCATCAAGTTTCATTCACTCTAAATTTAAACTAACAAAGTCAAACGTGATCTGCTGAGCTTAAATGTACTGTTACGTAATTGTAAGACGGAGACAACAAATGCCCGTGTTACATCCTCTTAACTATTAAAACTAGCAGTTCAAATAATTTGATTGAAACACACATCCCACCCCTTTCAAATGAACACCCTTACAAATGACTGTGAAACTAATTAAACTAACTTACTAATTAAATGTACATAATTTAATGACATTCCTGTGTTTAGTAAAACTATAGCAGAAGGACTCAGAAGTATACACTATTATTTCAGCCACCTACCCACCCAACTTTCAAGGCAGTTATTAAATTGAACTAGAAATAAAAATTGAAAAAGGTTTTAAAATTTTTTGATTATTATATTGCAACAAATATTTCATCAGTCATTACCAGGGCTCGTAAGTTCATGCATCTGCATGTTTTTTTTGCTACACAGGAAAACATGCTAACTGTGATACAAATCCGTTTCATAACAATAGTAATAATAATATGAAGTTTGATAGTGCATGTTTTTGCATGGTTTGGGTGTAAAGTCATATTTGGCATATAGTTGATTTTTTACAGTCATTAGTGCATATTATTTCATAAAAATATTTTTTAGACAAATATTTGAAAAGTTTTTTCCGATTTTTGATATCTTGTTCCAATCGTCCAATATCGCATGGTAAATTATAACGGTTTTTTAAATTTTTTATTGATTAATTATTTAGCTAATTAATAAAAATATCGAAAATCGGGCTTCTTACTATGGTAAAAAAAGTTCTACTCTACAATTTTTATAATAGGTATTTTTACTGTAAACTACTTCAATAAACCGTATTACTTGAATTACGAAACCATGGTTTTATGCCATATTTTGTCAACTAGTGCACCCTCTTAAGTTGGAAAACATAAAAAATACACTTATAAAATATATATTACTAAATTATCTCAAAATGAAAAACCTAATATTTAATTCCAAATGTTTTCATTGTTGGTGCTGAATAAGGGTGTACACAAATTAGACAAAAATGACTACCTAAGTCCTAATTAAAATTTATAAAGATGTCAAAGCTATTTGAACTTCACAAGTATTAATTTTATTTTTTATAATATTAATTTTGACTGTTAAATATATAAAAATAAAAAGGAATAAAATACTTTTAAAATGTATGGATTTATTCTTATTATTTTAAAATTTGGTCATGTTTTTTTTACATAATGCATATTTTGAGTTCATAATTTAAAAATGTGAAGGCATATAAATGCATATTTTCGAACTTTTAAGTGCATATTTTGACAATTTTTAGTGCATGAATGCATGCTTATTTATGCATTTTTTAGTGCATGAAGTTACGAGCCCTGGTCATTACTATAATATTGTTATTTCATAAATAAAAATAAGTATATTAACTTACAGGCAAAGGTTTTAATTGAGAAAATATTTGTTCACAATAATTATTTTCAACCTTGGCTCTTTGATCTATTTCATGTTTTAGTGCCATTTTGGTTAACTTTAATTTGTTAAGTAAGAATGGAGATTCTTGGCATGGTTTATTACTATCATTTCCAGTATTGGTCACTGAAAAGAAAAAATATAGAATTATTAGCAACTCAAATTTAAGAACTATATTTTAATTACAGCTTAAAAGTATAGGTAACTCGCCTGTTTATACCCTCAATAAGAATTTTTTTTGAGAAATGTTTAAGTTTATTTTTTAATTCTCCTTTTTCTGTTTCTAGTGAATCAATATCTGCTTGCAAATGGTCCATCGTTTCTTCTTATTCTTTTGACTTTCTTTTTAATTGCTGTTGTGTTTCATCCAATTAATATAAAACAAACATTTTCTAATAAATAATATATTTTTAACTATTTTTCCATATAATAAATATTTTAATTTATAGTTAACCTTAAAGTCAAGCATTTCTGGTATTGATGACCGAACTTTATCTTTTGATGCAGATTCTATCATTAATTGAGTTTGTAGATCTTGATTTTGTTCACTTGGTTCATTAACCAGACCTTTAAATTTTACAAAAACCAAATTACGATCAGCTAAACTTTCCAATGCTTGTCCTTTTCCTTCGACACACTTTAAAATAAATATGACTTAGATATAAATAAAAATAAAATGTTTGCTATTAATACTATTTAAAACCTCTCTAATATTAGCATTTGCCATATCTAATTCTTTACGTAATTGCATTTCCAACTCTGTACTATCTTCTTGGAGTTGATCATTAATATCTTGTATTGCTTCTAGATCAGTCACTGCTTTCTCTAATTCTACCACTTTATCTTCCAAATTCAATTTTTGTTAACCTAGAAGCTCAACTAATTCCTCTACTCCTAAAGCTGCATCAACCTAAAATATAATAATATATTAATACTTGGAAACTATCTATTTAAAAATTAATATAAAACCTTTTCATGCAAATCATTAACTTGAGATGCTAGTTCTTCATTAGACTTTTGTAAATCATTACATTGTTTGGTCATTTCTTCGATTTCTCTTTGTAAGTTTTGTGTTTGGTGTTTCTCGTGGGCGGATAAGTCTCGTAATCTAAAGTTTCAATAAGTGTCAACTAAATAGGAATCAATCAATTTTAAACAACAATAATAATACAAAAGCATCTTATACTTGAATAGTGTATCTCTAAGACGTACATTTTGTTGTTCAAGTTGCTTGACTTTGAAAGAACTGACACCATCTCCTCCCTCTTCACTTACATTTCCTTTCTCAAACTCAGCCTTTAAGAGTTCTAAATCTACTGTTAATTCCTCAATACGCTCTTTTGCTTGGTCTAATTCTAATTGAAGTGTTTCTGCTTTCACTTCAGAAATTTCTAAAGTCTCCGCCATTTCATTATAGTCGTCTTTTTCTTCTAATGCATCTTGTTTCTCCATTTTAACTTTTTCTAATTCTTTTTTTAATGCTGATTGAGATTCCATAATTTTAATTTTAAATTCTGCTGCTTGATCCACCTGCAATTTCATCATATAAATATCATCTCAGGCAGTACATAATCATTAATTGATCTATCACGTCCAATTGTATACAAATGATAACAAATACCAGGTCTTACACGACCTGCTCTACTACGACATTGTCTACAATTAGCTAAGCTAACCCATTCTTCATTAAGAGGTCCAATGTTATTTTCTGCATCGAATTCTTTTAATTTCTTCCTGTCATTATGAATAACATAAACTACATTGGCTATGGTAACTGAAGTCTCTGCTATGTTTGTGGATAATATGATCTTACGAAAACCTATTATAATGCTAACATTAGACAAAAATGCGTTTAAAGAATTTTAATATTTAATGCTTACCCCGAGGCGGCGATTCAAAAACATATTTTTGAGATACAGTAGTTGACATGGAATGCAAAGGAATCAGTATGTACCGAGCTACAAAATAAAAAAATTATATTTATAAACAGATATCAAAATTTTCATGAAATTCTACATTTATACAATATACTTTACATGTATTTCCAAAGCCTTAGTCTTTTAAAATGTTAGTCAGTTTTGATATTTGATCCCACCTAAAAAGGAACACAAGTATTGCACCATCATCTTTATTGTTACAAATGTAATATATGAGTTCTAAAATCAATTCGTAATCTGTATCTTCAGACATTGGATTTTCCAACCAATTCAATATTGCATAAGGATATTTTTGGAATCTCTTCATTTTACTACAAAAGATTTTGTTATTTGATTATTTGTTGACAATAAGTACGTAAATATATCTTAGTATATCTTTTACATGCATACTTACTTTACATAAGGAATTACAAATTCAGTGAATGGATCACCAGGTTTAATTTTGCGAGATCTTTGTGTTGGGTTTTTAGGAAAATATCTAAACCTGTATTCAGCAGAAATAAATGAAATTATTAGATATTAGCAATGATAAAAAAATGTAACAAACCTTTTTAATGTATAAATGTCTTCAAGGAAAATTTCTTCAACTAGATATGTGAATCCCTGTATATTCAAAGGTGGACAGTCATTGTAATACTTGGAAAATGCTGTAGCATTAATATAACTTTAATATGAGGTCTCTGGATTAACAGTACAAAAAAAAAAAAAAAATTAGTACAATTTAAACAAAATACCTACTATGACAGCAAGAAACATAATATGCATGTAATTACAACAGGTATGATTCTCTCGAGAATAGTTAATGTAAAATCACTATTGGTGTCACGTTCATGTATTTCATCAATGATAATATGTGAGTAATAATTTAAAGCTGAATCTCTTTGGATATGTTGAAGTAAAATAACAGTAGTACAAAATAATATAGATCCATATTCACGACCTAATTTTCTAAAATATAATACATTATTTTAGATATTAGTTTCTTCTATTCACTTAATATTATAATCATGTACCTTGAAGAATAAATCATTAATATATTTGTATTCTCTAGTAAGTATTTCTCAACTTACTGTGAAAATTTATTTAAAAATAAATGTAATATTATATATAAGATAAACAATTCATATTAACCTATGCCAATAATTAAGGTGTACAACTTATTAGTTTGTACCTATATGAAATTTTAGATGTTCACACACTTCAATAGAACTTTATTTTGTATCAACTTGCCACTTAATCGCAATCTCCCAAAATACAGATCCAATTGTCATAACAATCAGATCAATAGTGACGAGTTCTAAAATATACTGAAGTCAAAACTAGTTATGTGTTTCTTTGCAATTTAAATATGTTGAGGACCTTTGCGTTATTGAAATTGGGTTGTTTCTCAGCAAAATTGTATTGCCTTAAAAATTAAAACTATGTTAAAAATATGTCAGTGCACCATTTCTTTCTCTCTTGAAAAACGAGCAACATGCAAGTGAGAGTACAGTAGATCCAGTTTTGTACTGTTAGCTTTAATATTAGAGTTATATGACATAATATTATAATCAAACTTAAAAGCAAATATATTTTTCAAGGTACCTTATAGAGAAGCACTAAGCATTTATTTGTATTTTATTTTTAAAACAAGTTATGGATATTTTAATATTATAAGATATAATTATTTATTTATTAATTTATTTTGACTAAACGGGCCGAGCCCTTTCGATATACATATTTATGTCCACGCACACAATTAGATATTATACAATGTGTCCCGTGAACAGGTGGACACGTTAGTTAGTAAAATAGCTTTAAAATAAAAACCTATCTACAATATTCTCACCTTTATGTTTCATAACTTGCTTCAATATGGTATGTATATAATTATCTGCAAAAAAGTCAACGTCTGAAAATTGTCAACACATTGGCTCGACTTAATAGTTTCTTGTATGTGGTACATTATATATTTCAGTTTTGAAAACCATAATAAGTATAATCCACTGTATGAACTAAAAACGATAAACCACTAAGTAACTTTTGGCTTTGGCAAACATTTAAAATTGGAACTTGAGTAATATACTTATATAAGTGTGTGTGAATTAGACATTATTAAGCTTCTAAGACTTTTCTAGGTGAATTAAAATCATCGACTGTAACGTCTCCAAATCCTTTATTTGTCTGTTTATTTTCTTCAATCTCATCGTTGGAGAAATATAATTTTCTGAAAATATAAAGTTGTAAAAAATATCTGAATACCTACCAAATTAATATTAAAATAATTCAAAATTAAAAAATTTTACCTCTTACATGATTAACTAGTCGTGCTCAGAGTGGTACCAGTGTTGCTGTAAATTATTAAAATTTATTTTATATTGTTTATTTTACTCCTCTAAGCAGGCATGCGGTTTGGATTATGTTTGGTGACAGCCTCTGGCCATAATAATATCTACTATAAGTATACTGAGCCTTGTTTATAATTACTGATTGTGAAATGATTACCGCAGATTCTGCTCCAGATAGAAATTGGGTAATCATTTAATTTGAATATTTATTTAGTTCAATTTTCATTTTTTGGAAATCTATATTTGTGAACAAATTACACTGGCACCATATTATTAAGAAATATAATCAGTACAACTAGAAAATAATACTTACAAATGAAAATTAAGGTAGTGTGGCGAGGCGATACTTTGGATGTTTACTTAAAGAATACACTTATGCATGGCAACTTTTTACTAAAACGTATGAATACAACACTGTACGAATGTATAGTAGTCTGTATTTACTATTTCCGTTCAAATTTCAAATAGGTACCTAATCGAATTATCGAATGATTCAAATGATTCAATTAAAGTCGGGGAACATTAAAATTATATTATGTTGTTGTTATTTAATTGATAACAATTATTACTATCTCGTGCTAGCATTGTATTTATCAGGATAAAGATATACAGGACTGGACACTACAAGGTTGGGAGGGTTGTTGGCGGGGTTGACTACGAAATGTTTTACAACAGCTATGTTGGGGGGAATTATATTTCCTTTTAGCATTACTAGCGCCGTCCTAGTGGATACTTATGGAACTAGAACACATCATACAAATTTCTAGTCCCATAAGTATCCACTAGCGGACGGCGCTAGTATGTAAGGAAATATCCCCCAAGGCGTTGTCATAACCCATTCATTGTGCCAGCTATACTTTCCGTGGTGGGGTGCTACATTATTTGAATTTCAAATATTTGAAAATACAGATTTCGGAAAAGATTTTTTTTGAAAATATTCGATTTATACAATAAATCACATTGAGTTTAATATCAACCATTTTAATATAAAAAGAACTATTGTTTATTTGTATATAAGCATCTCACTATACTTTACTATCGAAGTAGGTAACTAGGTAAGCAGTGGTACACCAATTCTATAATACAATAACACTTATTAATATTACCTAAATAGGTACCTATTTGTTCTATAAAATACATTTATGCCACCTTAGTATTTTTGGAAATTCTTGTCTTAAACATTTTAATTTTATAGCTTATAATTTATATACATCACCAACCACAAAAATACCTATTTAAATTTTCATAATCAACAAATTTTATAATTTATATAAAACATGATATATATTTATCAAATAAATCTATAACAAACTTAGTAAATTCTGCAGATTGTTATCAACTAATTGCATTATTATTGCTTACTTGGTATGAGCCAAAATAGATATAACCATAATTATCATTGTAAATGCTTAGCTGTGCTATGTTCATTTAAAAAAATTTATGTTCTGAATCTGAACAAAATTAACTTTACTATATTATACCAGTGCTGAAGTAAGTAAAATATAACTATAAAGGGGGATATTTCATTTTTTTCTCTAGCTTTTTAATGCTAGAATATTTATCATATGTTACTATGACCTGTCCTGACTGTTCTTTTAAATATTTTTTTTTTTTTTTTTGGGGGGGGGGGTACTTGTTATATACCAAACCCAGTGCCATAGCTGTCCTCATTGACATTTTTTTATGGACAATGAGGTCCTAAATCAACAAATGATAAGTATTCTAGTTTAACAAAAAACAGAGAAAAAAAGTGCCCCCCCCCCAAGGTTTATTCTTTCTAAATTTCCAAATTATATAGATTCAATAAACGTTTTTTCAGAAATAGTAGTTTCAAATATTTACGGTTTCCAAGGAATGCAGTTTCTTGGGATATTGTTTCCAAATAATGGATAGTCCAAATTTATCGTTTCCAAGTAAAGAAGATTCAAAGTTTATAGATTCCAAATTATGTCAGTTCCAGACTTATCGATTCCATGTAATGCCGATTCCTGATTTGTTGATTCAATTTTATTATCAACCCATGTTTATCATTTCCAATTAATGATACTTCCAATAAATAAAGATTCAAAGATTAATAGATTCAAAAAATTGTATATTCAAAACCATATTCTTCAAAGTTTTTACATGCACCCATTTATAGACTTAATACATTTGAATATTATTTTGTTTTAATGTTTTGTTGATGTCATAATGTGATATTACCTACTTATTACTGTGGTTTCAATAGTGTATTAGTGTGCTGTTAGTTTTGATATTTGAGTGAATCATAGTATCATCAAACTTTTAGGTATCAACATTACTCGTGTTATCTCCCAGGGTTTTTACAATATTTTAATTTTTATGTAAGCTATGATCATTTTCAATTATTAATGTTTTACATAATCATAATTCATAATTCATTGAAAAATTAAAATATCGTAAGAAACCAACTAGAGAAAACATATAGGTAATGTTGTTATTTTAAAATTTGATAATAAGACAATTCACTCTTATATCAAAACTGACAGTATCCTATTTAAAATAGGTATCCAACGAAAAATTGTTTTACGAGTGTAAGATGAAAACCACACAATTGTCATGATGTGGGTGTGACGTCCACGTAAGGTGACATTTTAGTCCGTTTTTTCGTTGGACATAATAATATTAATTCAGCTCACAAGCTATA